TTCCTGCCTCTCGGGGTCCCTCTTCCTGCCTCTCGGGGTCCCTCTTCCTGCCTCTCGGGGTCCCTCTTCCTGCCTCTCGGGGTCCCTCTTCCTGCCTCTCGGGGTCCCTCTTCCTGCCTCTCGGGGTCACTCTTCCTGCCTCTCGGGCTCACTCTTCCTGCCTCTCGGGTCACTCTTCCTGCCTCTCAGTGTCACTCTTCCTGCCTCTCGGGTCCCTCTTCCTGCCTCTCGGGGTCACTCTTCCTGCCTCTCGGGGGGTCCCTCGTCCTGCCTCTCGGGGGGGCCCTTCGTCCTGCCTCTTGGGTTCCTCTTCCTGCCTCTCGGGGTCCCTCTTCCTGCCTCTCGGGGTCCCTCTTCCTGCCTCTCGGGGTCCCTCTTCCTGCCTCTCGGGGTCCCTCTTCCTGCCTCTCGGGGTCCCTCTTCCTGCCTCTCGGGGTCACTCTTCCTGCCTCGGGGTCACTCTTCCTGCCTCTCGGGGTCACTCTTCCTGCCTCTCGGGGTCCCTCTTCCTGCCTCTCGGGGTCCCTCTTCCTGCCTCTCGGGGTCACTCTTCCTGCCTCGGGGTCACTCTTCCTGCCTCTCGGGTCACTCTTCCTGCCTCTCGGGGTCACTCTTCCTGCCTCTCGGGGTCACTCTTCCTGCCTCTCGGGGTCCCTCTTCCTGCCTCTCGGGGTCCCTCTTCCTGCCTCTCGGGGTCACTCTTCCTGCCTCTCGGGGTCACTCTTCCTGCCTCTCGGGGTCACTCTTCCTGCCTCTCGGGGTCACTCTTCCTGCCTCTCGGGGTCACTCTTCCTGCCTCTCGGGGTCACTCTTCCTGCCTCTCGGGTCACTCTTCCTGCCTCTCGGGTCACTCTTCCTGCCTCTCAGTGTCCCTCTTCCTGCCTCTCGGGGTCCCTCTTCCTGCCTCTCGGGGTCACTCTTCCTGCCTCTCGGGGGGTCCCTCGTCCTGCCTCTCGGGGGGGCCCTTCGTCCTGCCTCTTGGGTTCCTCTTCCTGCCTCTTGGGTTCCTCTTCCTGCCTCTCGGGGTCACTCTTCCTGCCTCTCGGGGTCACTCTTCCTGCCTCTCGGGGTCCCTCTTCCTGCCTCTCGGGGTCCCTCTTCCTGCTTCCTTGTACACCATTCTTCACAATTTTTCCTTCCTGCTTGCTCTCCTTTCACAGTCTCAATTTCCGTGAAGTAATTCTTCAGGTCGACTAATTTAGGGAAAGTCTGCGTCGAAGTCTGGAGGGCAGGGGAAAAAACGTGGGCTTTTGGGGAAGTTTGGTTAGAACAGCTGTTGGGTGGGTGTTGTGGGTGGAGTGGGTGGAGGGGGGGGGGTAGGTGGGTGGGTGGGTGGAGGGGGGGGGGTAGGTGGGTGGATGGGGCTCACGTCAACAGCCTTGTATCCTCTTATTGATTCCTTTTCTTCCGCTTCTCCCTTTTTCTCACCTTTCCATCTCTTAATTCCCCTTTTTCCTCTTAGTCCTCTTAGTCCTCTTAGTCCTCATTTCCTCTTAGTCCGATTTACTCTTATGCCTGCCTCTCCTCTCCGTTTTGTCCTCTTCTGTTTGTTCTCATCTGCCTCGTCCCTTTCCCTCTTCTGTATTCTCCTTTAGTACTTTTCCTCTTCCTTCCTTCCTTCCTTCCTCTCTTCCTTCCTCATTTCTCTCCTCGGCCACTATTCTACTCTTTCCCTTACATATATCCTCTTCCATATCTGTCTAGCTCTTCCTCTTGCCCATCTCTCACCCCTACAACCCTCCTTTCCCCTGGTGGGGGAATTGTACACCCCCTCCTTTCCCCTGGTGGATGAATTGTACACCCCCTCCTTTCCCCTGGTGGATGAATTGTACACCCCCTCCTTTCCCCTGGTGGATGAATTGTACACCCCCTCCTTTCCCCTGGTGGATGAATTGTACACCCCCCCTTTCCCCTGGCGGGGAATTGTGTGCTGAAGCTACCCAAGGGGTAGTTAATAGTGTAGTTGTTTAGTTCTGTTAGGTCACTTCTTGGTTATCTTTTTTTAAATTGCGAGGATCAGCTTCCCGACGGCCCGGTCTCCGACCAGGCGTTCTGGTTAACCAGGCTGTTGGACGCGGCTGCTTGCAGTCTGTCGTATGAATGACAGCCTGGTTGATCTTTTTAAGAAGTTTATCAAGTTCTCTTTTGAACACTGGGAAAGGTTGGCTGAGAGGACAGCACGATGGACTTGTGATCCTGTGGCCCCGGGTTTGATCCCGGGCGCCAACGAGAAACAATGGGCAGAGTTTCTTTCACCCTATGCCCCTGTTACCCAGCAGTAAATAGGTACCTGGGTGTTAGTCAGCTGTCACGGGCTGCTTCCTGGGGGTGGAGGCCTGGTCGAGGACCGGGCCGCGGGGGACACTAAAAAGCCCCGAAATCATCTCAAGATAACCTCAAGATAATCAGGGTCGGCCAGTTATGCCACTTACGTGTTAACTTTTCAACATTGCCCCTTAGGGAGAGTATTGAAAAGTCTTATAGCCCTTGATGTCGATATTCTCCCTTAACGTACCCATTGCAACATCTGCTTTTCAATGGGGCGCTATTTTGCACATCTGGACATGCTTTTGAACTTGTGTGGTGGTGTGTGTGTGCAGAATTAAAACCAGTTCCTCAAGCAGGCGATGAGTCACAATAACGTGGCTCAAGTAAGTTGACCAGACCACACACTAGAAGGTGAAGGGACGAAGACGTTTCGGTCCGTCCTGGACCATTCTCAAGTCGATTTGTGGTCCAGTGACGGTCGATGAGAATGGTCCAGGACGGACCGAAACGTCGTTGTCCTTTCACCTTCTAGTGTGTGGTCTGGTCAAAATCAGCTGAAGTATTTTCCAAGTGTAAATTATAAATATATCTCCTCCGCTTTCACTCTAGAAAATACAGCCTAGTTGTACTCACCTAATTGTGGTTGCGGGGGTTGAGCTTTGACTCTTTGGTCCCGCCTCTCAACCGTCAATCTAGGAAATACAGATTTAACAAATTGTAAGCTGTAAAACAGCATGTTTTATTGATTCTAAGCACACCAGGTTAGCAATTTCTCCACTCTTGAAAGAGTCTGTTACTGTACAACAATATTTTACTCTAGAGAGCACTAGTGTCGTTAAAAGGTATCATCATTGGTACGGCATCTCATGTTCATAAGGTTCTTGTTATCCAACCTGTCATTATTTTTACAGTTGTGAGCCTAATGCCTTACCCACTAGTTTCCTCTAGAACACGACCCGTACAGTTAATGATTAGCGCCTAGTCAATCCTCCTCATAATTGTCACCACCAGTACTGTGGTGGTTGATTGTGGCGGTGTGTTGCTGCTGTGGGTGTAGTGATGGTTGATTGTGGTAGTGTGCTGCTGCTGTGGGTGTAGTGGTGGTTGATTGTGGTGGTGTGTTGCTGCTGTGGGTGTAGTGGTGGTTGATTGTGGTGGTGTGTTGCTGCTGTGGGTGTAGTGGTGGTTGATTGTGGTGGTGTGTTGCTGCTGTGGGTGTAGTGGTGGTTGATTGTGGTGGTGGGTTGCTGCTGTGGGTGTAGTGGTGGTTGATTGTGGTGGTGTGTTGTTGCTGTGGGTGTAGTGGTGGTTGATTGTGGTGGTGTGTTGTTGCTGTGGGTGTAGTGGTGGTTGATTGTGGTGGTGTGTTGCTGCTGTGGGTGTAGTGGTGGTTGATTGTGATAGTGGGTTATTCGACTCTACCATAAGATCGAACCTTCCCTACACTGCCTGAACGTGGCATATCACTGTGCTGCCCCTAACCACTTCTCTCTGGGACGATGCCAATGCACAGTATTGCTTGCAACCTTCAGGGTCACGCAACACCTCTCCTGCTTGTATTGCTTGATGAAGAGCAATTGCTAGCCCAGGAGCTGGGGGTCGAAGGTGATGTTGCATGTTTAGGTGGACTGAGGATAGGATACATACATATGGCTTATCCTATGGATAGGACAGGATAAAAAGGACAAGGGGACCCAGGCTAGGTGCTGGATGTGAGGCTCAACTCGTTGCGGATGCAGCATCTCTATATAGGATAGAGGAATATTAATTATTACCTTTTAAAAAGCACAAACACACGGATCTGAGGTGTGTGTGTGTGTGTGTGTACTCACCTAATTGTGCTTGCGTGGATTGAGCTCTTGCTCTTTGGTCCCGCCTCTTAACCGTCAATCAACTGGTGTACAGGTTCCTGAGCCTATTGGTCTCCATCATAGCTACACTTGTAACTGAGCTGGGGAAAAATATTGTGTGTGCGTGCGTGCTTGCTTGCATGCGTGCGTGCGTGCGTGCGTGCGTTGGGGGACAAGATGCAGAAGACAGTCGATATTGAACGATCCAGTGCGTATTTAATATTATTATCAAGCAGTTTAATGGTCCATAAGGGCTTAAAATGTTTGACTGGAGCGTCAAACAAAGATGGAAAAAGTCGAAATTTTTGTAAAATGTGTTAAAATATTTAGGGAACGTAATTTAGTTAGTGGAAGTTTGGTGGGGATGGATTTTATGCATTCAGTAAAGTATGAAAATCTGGTGAAATTTTGTTGTAAAGATGATGATATTAAAGAGAGAGAGGGAGAGGGAGGGGAAAGGGGAGTGTGTGAGAGGGAAAGGGAGAGAGGTAGGGAGGGGGGTCCGGTTGGGACGTGATTTTGAACAACTATTCCTACGCTTTCAAATGCAATGAACAAACGATGAACAAAGAACAGCACATCACTTTGTGAACAAATACATCATCTGGTGTACGGTTGACTCATGTTAACTTGAAGAACATGTTCTTCTTGTCCATTCATGAATATCCAGAACACTGTCCGGCTTAAATTACCCCATTGAAAGGGAGCTAATATATTGGGACACGTTCTAGACAGGGGAACCACTCAGAAAACGGTGTTATTAGTGTCCAAAAAATAAAGACAAGATAATCAGAATACTATGGTCTTGCCTTGACACTCAGGCCATTTCCTGAGTGGTCATTAATACGATTTTCTTATATAAATCTGCAGTTTACATCACCCTTATGTATTACGACAGAGCCTCGATCGCCGGAACCAACAAGAGGCAGGTAGAATACTTGAATGGTTTTGTGCTTTTGAAGTTATGGCTGAATGTCTTGCAAGGAAATATAAAATAAATCTATTGACATATTTCGGTGCAAGAGCTACACTTTGAGTGCAAACATTAGAGGCCAAATTAGTGTGTAGATTAGTGTCGGTATTAGTGTGTAGATTAGTGTCGGCATTAGTGTGTAGATTAGTGTCGGTATTAGTGTGTAGATTAGTGTCGGTATTAGTGTGTAGATTAGTGTCGGCATTAGTGTGTAGATTAGTGTCGGCATTAGTGTGTAGATTAGTGTCGGTATTAGTGTGTAGATTAGTGTCGGCATTAGTGTGTAGATTAGTGTCGGTATTAGTGTGTAGATTAGTGTCGGCATTAGTGTGTAGATTAGTGTCGGCATTAGTGTCGGTATTAGTGTGTAGATTAGCGTCGGCATTAGTGTGTAGATTAGTGTCGGTATTAGTGTGTAGATTAGTGTCGGTATTAGTGTGTAGATTAGTGTCGGTATTAGTGTGTAGATTAGTGTCGGTATTAGTGTGTAGATTAGTGTCGGCATTAGTGTGTAGATTAGTGTCGGCATTAGTGTGAAAATTAGTGTGTAGATTAGTGTCGGTATTAGTGTGTAGATTAGTGTCGGCATTAGTGTGTAAATTAGTGTCGGCATTAGTGTGAAAATTAGTGTCGGCATTAGTGTGGAGATTAGTGTCGGCATTAGTGTGTAGATTAGTATCGGCATTAGAATGGAGATTAGTGTCAGCATTAGAGTCTTCTAGCCTCTTCAATCCTCCATCCCTCATTCCGTCCTTCCATTAATATTTCCAACCCCTTTCCACTCTCTGCCATTGCTCTCTCCCACCCCCCTATATACCCCCACACCCTTGCGACCAGCCAGAGGTGTGGTGGGGGCTTCTGTCGTATCTGGGAGCGATGGCCAGGGAGAGGTGAATATATCGGGGGCGAAGCCATGCACGATCATGTCCAGGCATGTCAGACATGCAAAACACTCGTTAGCCAGTTGAGCAATCAGGCTGTCCTGGGTACGACCTCGCCCGCAGTCCAAGCTGCAACCCTTCGTCACGTTATTGGCATGTGGATTAGTGTTTACGTTCCGTCAGTCGATATGATTTGGATTTTTTTTTGGGGGGGATCCGTGTTTCAGATGTTATGCTTCATCGGGGCCTGTGTGGGGATGTTATGCTTCATCAGGGCCTATGTGGGGGATGTTATGCTTCATCAGGGGCCGCTGTGGGATGTTATGCTTCACCAGGGCCTGTGTGGGGATGTTATGCTTCATCGGGGCCTATGTGGGGATGTTATGCTTCATCAGGGCCTATGTGGGGATGTTATGCTTCATCAGGGGCCTATGTGGGGATGTTATGCTTCATCGGGGCCTATGTGGGGATGTTATGCTTCATCAGGGCCTATATATATATATATATATATATATATATATATATATATATATATATATATATATATATATATATATAGTGGGGACGGGAGGTGCAGGCGAGGCGTTGGTCACTGTTAAGATGGCCTTTTATGGGTTATTTTTGTCTGTGGTGCGAGGCACAATTGTCGAGGGCAGAGTGCCGGGTAAAGTGTCTTATGAGGGTGTTATGCTGGGGAAGTGGCATCCTCGGACACTTTAATGCTTCACCCGGGCGGACGGGAAGGGAGAGAGAGGCGGAGAGAGGGAGAGAGGAGGGACAGGAAGAGAAATATTGTTGTCGTAACTCCTAGCAAGTGTCGTATTGGTGTGAGTATGACCTGTTCCAGTGCCTCTGAGGGTGTCCAATTGTTCCAGTGCCTCTGAGGGTGTCCAATTGTTCCAGTGCCTCTGAGGGTGTCCAATTGTTCCATTGCCCCTGAGGGTGTCCAATTGTTCCAGTGCCTCTGAGGGTGTCCAATTGTTCCAGTGCCTCTGAGGGTGTCCAATTGTTCCATTGCCCCTGAGGGTGTCCAATTGTTCCAGTGCCTCTGAGGGTGTCCAATTGTTCCAGTGCCTCTGAGGGTGTCCAATTGTTCCAGTGCCTCTGAGGGTGTCCACCTGCACTGATGAAGTGTATTCCAGGGTCTCTCTTCCCCCCTCCCATCCCTTCCCATCCCCTCCCTCCTTCCCCTCCTTCCCATCTCCCTTTCCTTTCCCCCTCCTAACCCCCCTCTGGATGGTACGAACAAGGGGACACATGTGGAAGCTGAGTACCCAAATGAGCCACAGAGACATTATAAAGAACTTTTTCAGTGTCAGAGTAGTTAGTAAATGGAATGCATTAGGAAGTGATGTGGTGGAGGCTGACTCCATACACAGTATCAAATGTAGATATGATAGAGCCCAGTAGGCTCAGGAATCTGTACACCAGTTGATTGACAGTTGAGAGGCGGGACCAAAGAGCCAGAGATCAACCCCCGCAAACACAACTACGTGAGTACACAAACACACAAACCCAGGAGGCCTGACGGCTGAGTGGACAGCGCTCGGGATTCGTAATCATAGGGTCCGAGGATCTATTCCCGGCAGAGGAGGAAAGAAATGGGCAGAGTTTCTTTTACCCTTATGCCCCTGTTACCTAGCAGTAAATAGGTACCTGGGAGCTAGACAGCTGTTACGGGCTGCTTCCTGGGGATATGTGCGCGTGCGTGTGTTAGACAAACATATGTAGTAGACATAATACATGAAAAATAAAGTGGTTAGAAAGGCGCGATCCAAGAGCTAAGAGCTCAATTCTCCAGACACAAATAGTAAACACACACAACTCTTACGATGCTATATATAACTCTTGAGCTACAGTCACTAAACTGACCCACTTTAATGTTAAAGAGTCGCTGGGAAGCCGATCACTTACAAGCTCTCCAGTCTGTCGTTAATTATCCTCAAGCTTAACAAGCAGCCGTCTCAGCTTCTCGTTAACATTAAGATAATCCGATAGTCACGTGTAATATATAATATATATATATATATATATATATATATATATATATATATATATATATATATATATATATATATATATATATATATATATACATACACACACACACACACACACACACACACACACACACACACACACACACACACACACACACACACACACACACACCTGGAGAGGGTTCTGGGAGTTCTTCTACTCTGAGCCCGGCCTGAGGACAGGCTCGACTTGTGATAACTATATCCAACAGGCTGTTGCTTGGAGCGATCCGCAGGCCCACATATATCCACCACAGCCCGGTTGGTCCGGCACTTATTGCAAGAACTAACCGAAATTCTTGAATACATCCACCTGTGTTCCAGTCAAGGTGGATGTGAGTAGCACCACTTCGATGCAGAGGGAGAAAACAGAGAGCCTTGGGGAAGAGAGGGAGAGAGAGAGAGAGGGGGAGAGAGGGGGAGAGAGAGAGAGGGGGGAGAGAGAGAGAGGGGGAGAGAGAGAGAGAGGGGGGGGAGAGAGAGAGAGAGGGGGGAGAGAGAGAGAGGGAGAGAGGGAGAGAGAGAGAGAGGGGAGAGGGAGAGGGAGAGAGAGAGAGAGAGAGAGAGAGAGAGAGAGAGGAGAGAGAGAGAGAAGAGAGAGAGAGAGAGAGAGAGAGAGAGAGGGAGAGGAGAGGAGAGAGAGAGAGAAGAGAGAGAGAGAGAGGAGGAGAGAGAGGAGAGAGAGAGGGAGAGAGGGGGAGAGAGAGAGAGAGGGGGGGAGAGAGAGAGAGAGGGGGGGAGAGAGAGAGAGGGAGAGAGGGAGAGAGAGAGAGGGGGAGAGAGAGGGAGGGAGAGAGAGAGAGAGAGAGGAGAGGGAGAGAGAGAGAGGAGAGAGAGAGAGAGAGAGAGAGAGAGAGAGGGGAGAGAGAGAGGGAGAGAGAGAGAGAAGAGAGAGAGAGAGGAGAGAGAAGAGAGAGAGGGTGTGTGGGCTGAGGGTGGGGAGTGGGAAACTTCTTAACCTAGGCAAGGGACATGAACCCCACACAACTTTGGTAAGTGATAGGACACCCGGTATTGTTCTGGGGGAGGAGGGGCTGGGGGATAATATATAAGAGGGGGGGAAAAAGGCTCCCCCATAGAAAAGGGAGAGATGGGGGAGCCTGGGGAAGAATGGGAGCCTGGGGGGGAGAATGAGAACTATATACTCAATTCTTGGCACAAGAATTTTTTTCTGCGTAAATTTTTTTGTGTAAAATGTGGTAAAAAATCAAATACGGAACGATTACAGGCAACTGTATTAAGGTAGAGGGGGTGAGTTGGGTGGGGGGGGGGGTTCTATAGGGAAATTGACCTATTCATATAAATTACAGATATAGGAAAACTTTGTACCGGTGGCTGAGGGGACAGAATACTGGATGCGTGATCCTGTGGTCCCGGGTTCGATCCCGTGCGCTAGCGAGAAATAATGGGCAGAGTTTCTTTCAACCTGATGCTCCTGTTACCTAGCAGTAAATAGGTACCTGGGAGTTTGTCAGCTGTTACGGGCTGCTTCCTGGGGGTGGAGGCCTGGTCGAGGACCGGGCCGCGGGGACACTAAGCCCCGAAATCATCTCAAGATAACACCTCACAGTGTTCAAGAGAGAACTTGATAAACACCTCCAAAGGATACCTGATCAACCAGACTGTGATTCATACGTCCGGATGTGAGCAACCGCGTCCAACAGCCTGGTTGACCAGTCCAGCAACCGGCAGGCCTGGTTGGGGACCGGGCCGTGGGGACGTTGAGTCCCGGAATCAACACAAGGTAACCCTGTGGACCTATACCCTCGCGGCTAGTCTCCCCCCCCCCCCATGTACGAACCACAGTCCAGTTACCACCCTATCCATTCCACTGGTTGGTTCGGCCTCGCTTTTTGCGGGTCGGCGTTCGATCCCCGATGGTTTCGTTGAGCACCGTTCCTTCCCTCCGTCCAAACACCAGCTCCTAGTCCTCGTATCCCTCCCAGGTGCTATAGCCATGCTGGCTTGACTCCTTATAATTATCTAGTTACTTGGAGCAGCCCAAGCAGGCCCAAGTGGTTTGGGCACCATCCTCACAACCCCTTGCTGCTCCGACACTTGATGTACCTGAGCTGCTAAAAACAGGAAAACCTTGACAACTTGTATGAACTCATCAAGACAATGTCCGCCTCAAGAGTACTGTAGAGTACCCCAGAAGCGGTGACGAGACCAGCCTCTCGTAATTTAAACATGGGATAAGCTAAGCTAACATCTTAATCTCCATAACAAAATTGTGTGTGTGTGTAAAGGCACTATTCTAAAGGCACTAAAGGCACTGTGATTCTAAAGGCACTATTTGTGCCTTTAGAATCGAGCTATTAGCTCTTGAACTTCCTTTCTAAACTCATCTATTTTTCCTCTTGTCATTTCTCTCTTGACACACATATTCCCAGGAAGCAATCCGTAGGAGCTGTGTAACTCCCAGATACCTGGGAGGAACTGCCAGGAATGACAGGTATGCTGGAGATGGGGTTCATTTATCTTAGGGCTGGGTTATTGCTGTTGCCAACTCGTTGGAATCTGTGGTTGAAGTGGTTTGTTGGGGTTTAAACTGTTAGTAGATAGTGGTATGGGAATGTGTATGGGGAAAGGAGACATTAAAGTATGAATTGGTGGGGGGAAAAAGTGTAGAACCTCAGAATACACACTTAATACACTTCAGGTAATACACACTTAATACACTTAGGACATATTTCACGAACAGTAGGAGTCTTAACAAACAAAATAAATGATTTAAATGCTCTTGTCTACATAGAAACAATAGATATTATTCCTCTTACAAAAACACGAATATAGAAAACGGAGAGCTATTACCTGAATATCAAA